CATACGGTGCGTCGGTTCTCTTCGTACGAAAGAAACAGGAGAGAGAGAGAGAGAGAGAGAGAGAGAGAGAGAGAGAGAGAGAGAGAGAGAGAGAGAGAGAGAGAGAGAGAGACCCACACTTCTTCCCTGCTCCTGCTTGTGTGGAGTTGTGAAAACACCTCCAAACACACTCTGCTGCAGCTCCGCCTCGCCTCGGCCGCAGCGTCGCTGCGGCGGGTCCACTTGTTTAATTAACAAAAAACGAAACCACACATATGTTTACACTGAATCAATTAATTCGTCATGATCGAGAATGAAAACGACATACGCAACGTACTCGAGCTTTAAATCAATGTTCTCAAAAGCAGGGAGTATGCTGTCAACATTGGGACTAAAGCTGCTTCGGTTTTGGATCTACTTTCTTCCCTCTCGGGGTGGAATAAGGGCTGTTGTGACTGAAAATTCAAAACACACAGACAGTGCACTCGCAAGCTCTACAGCCTCTGGAGAGCAATGATCCAGCTGAACCTCCTCATTTCCCTGTGCAAGGTCGGGCAGCGTCCCCTCCCTGTGTATTTTCGGATGTGTCCTACCACGGACAATGAAAGGGCCTCTCCATAGGACAATGGTTGTGCCATTCCATTCTATCCTCACACAACTACAGTTCGGTTAGCATGCACACAACATAATCTCTGCTCCGAACACTATGAAGGGATGCTCGCTGCCAATCTCTGCCGAGAAAACTGTGACCCTTTGTCTTGTACTCATTCCTTCCTTCGCCTAATCACGTGCCCAGCATGCCATCGTGGCTTTGACACGTCATGCCTGAATACCTGGGAAAGTCAACCTACTTTCCTGCTCACATGTCAGCAACATGCCGTGTGCCGTCAATGTTTCCAGGAAGCAGTCATAGAAAGTATGTGTCTCTACTGCGTGGACTATCCCCGATGCCATCATCCGCCACATCCTCTCCTAGCATGTCCCACAAGCAATGTTGGGCATACACCTGCTGCAATCGCAGTCGGATCTCCTTCATTCTTGACAGACGAACGACAGATGCAGCAGCCTGAGGAGGAAAATAGGCTACGACATGAACCATCTACGGAGCGCTGTACTGAAAGGCTATCACCACCAGGGTGAGCTGTTACAGACCAAATCCTGCAGCAGCTAAACACCTTTGTTTTGGAGCAATCCCCGTCATCGTCTTCCCATAGAGAGGGAATAATTACGGGGGAAACCAAAGAAACCTGCTCAATGGCGTTTTGTGATGACCCACCTGAGATTTGAGGTTCAACCTCCTGATGAATCGGTGACAGTGTGAACGAAACAGTCTGGCACAGTCATACCTTTTTTTTGTGTATAGCGAATATGAAAACACACACACACACACACACACACACACATACTGTTCCATGTTGAGCCTGCACACAGGCCCCGTTCCGGGGGCCCGACGGTTGCTGGGGGGCCCCACGCCGCACGCCATTCAGGCATGCGCCCTGGAGGCCCATGGCCAGCCTTTGGGGCCGCAGGGTTCGATTTGAGGCAACATTTATTTATTTATCTATTTATTTGCTGTCCTATTTCTGTCTGTTCAGGCGTCGTTTCGGACTTGCAGTGCGCCTGAACAGACTTACGGTTTGTTCGGACCAACACCACAGTTTGGGCCTTCTCCATCCCCGGTCAAGTCCTTTCGGGCCAGGTTCGTTTTCGTCCAGTAGTGGGCACTCCCTGCTGCATCAGCAGGGAGGGCCTGGACGTCCGGTAGGGACTCAGGCAGGCCGTTTCAGGCCAGGACCAGGGGCACACCAGCAAGGCCCAGCGCTATATATAGTTGGGTCAGGCCAGGGCAGACACACAGTTCGAGTAGCTCACTTCCTGGGCGACACGTTGTTGGAGCTGCGCTATACACCGTTGTGCTAGAGGTAGAGGCGTAGGTAGGGAGGCTATACCTGCAGCGGCGGAGTACGTACCTGGTGCCATAGCTGAGATTCACACCAGCGACCTGCAGCACAGTGACACGCCGACCCATTAGTACTTGGCGACAATTCCTGCAAATGAGACAGCGAGGAGGACGACATCTTCTTCTTCTCATTCTCCTTCTTCTTCGTTCTATGTGTGTGTGTGTGTGTGTGTGTGTGTGTGTGTGTGTGTGTGTGTGTGTGTGTGTGTGTGTGAGAGAGAGAGAGAGAGAGAGAGAGAGAGAGAGAGAGAGAGAGAGAGAGAGAGAGAGGTTACAAGCAGAGTTTATATCGGGACATGAGGCCAGGATCTGATTCAACATTTTTGCCGCAGACATTGATTGGACATTCGACAGGGAGATTATTTTTGGACTTCGCTATCACGATCTTGGTCTTCTCCCTCATCTCCATCTTCGTCTCACTCTTCCTCCCTCGCTCATCCGTGGTATTTCCCCATGTGTGCATCAAGGAGGGACCATTGTTCTATGCGTGCGGTCCCTCCTCTCTCACATGTCTGGTGTGTGATCGGGTCAGTCGCGTCAGTATCTGACAGGTCAGGTCATATCTTCGAGTCTTCCGCTGCGCTACGTTGTGCTATTTTTATATGTATTTGGATGCGGTGATGCACATTGCTTGTTGATGCTTCACTGATGCCACGTTGTCCATTCGAGTCCCTTTCATCACTTTCATATCCTTTGGCTCCATATACATCTCTTGATTGAGCATGTATCAATTGATATCGGAGCTCCCACTAGTGAATTAGGACAGGATCCGACCTGACGGGCGATTAGGAAATCGATCGATCGATCGATTGATTGATCGATTAATTGATTGATTGATTGATTGATTGATTGATTGATTGATTGATCGATGGATTGATTGATCGATTGATTGACTGGATGATCGATTGATTGATTGATTGATTGATTGATTGATTGATTGATTGATTGATTGATTGATTGATTGATTGATTGATTAGGTAATCAATAACTTAATTAATCTACATTTTTTTTCTTTTTTCTCAAATCTGCCTGATTGTCAAATTTCGAATTTTCTTGTCTTCTGAAAATTCGGAATTCTCTCTTTTTGTGCAAATTCGTTTTTTTCAAATTTTGTAAATTCTGAATTGCGCATTAATTAGTGGCTGAAATTTTTAATTTTCTCTATTTTTTTGGAATTTTGTTTTTTTTTCGTTGTTTGGATAATCCGGAATTTTATTTTTTTGGCATATCTCTCTTCGCAGTTCGTGTTTTGTGAAATTACACTTCTTAAAATAAAAAATTGTTGTGCTTTGGAATATTTCAAATTTTATTTTTTTTTAAATTCGGAATTATCCCGAACTTGCAATATTATATAATATATATTTTATTATTATTATTATTATTATTATTATTATTATTATTATTATTATATTTTTTAATCTCTTCGCAGTTCGGTCCTTATTATTTCAACTTCGGGACTTTGGGGATCTGGGAGACCTACCGAACTTGCAATTTCAAAATTATTATTATTCTTTTTCTTCCTCGAATTTTTTCTTCAAACAAAGTTCGAACTTTTATTTTTTTTTAATATTTATTAGTGGCTTCCTATTTGGGCAATCAATGTGACCCCATGGGGAGTGGAGTGATGCTTTTTAATTGATGATGTGTGGTTCCCTCCCTCCCACCCACCCCATCTACGCTGCTGTCCATTCCTCTTTTCTTCCGTTCTTCTTCCTCTTCCATCTCTTCCGCTGCGGGCATTGGTGAGTTGCCATGTCAACACGGTGCCACGTCCGCAGGCCATGTCAGCAAGCCATGTCAGAAGACCATGTCAGCAGGCCACGTCAGCGACATGTCATAAGCCTAAGCGTGCCATTTCAGCAGGCCTGTGCCACATCAGCACCAGCCACACATGCTTCCTGTCCTTTGGTCAGTGACCAACGCGATGGAACGCAAGGACATTGAGTCCGAGGCAGACTACGAGGCCCGGCTGGCTGACATGATGCTCGAGATTAAGCAAAGAGCAGATGTGGCAGTTGCCACTCAAGAGAAGAGAGAGAGGGAAGCCGAAGAGAAACGTCGCCTTGCTGAATTACAGCAGCAAGCGCACAAGGACGCAGCACACCAGGCTGCCTACGAAGCAAAACAAATGCACGGGGATGCATTGTTCGAGGAGGAGGCTGAAGTCTTGACCTTGGCCACCGACTGGGAGAAGTCGGCCAAGGAGGAGGGAGCCTCCAAGACCATGCGTAAGTTCTCCGCGGTCATCAAGCGGATTGCAGCAACAGTCGTTGCCCCCTCCAACATTTCGGATCGCGTCAGCACATTGCAGATTGAAGTAGGCACTCTCAAGGATGGTGTGCAACTGCAACAAACGACAAATCAGCAGTTTCGGACCTCCGATCAGCAGGTGGAGGAGCAGATTCGTGCAGCAGCGCTAAGTTCAGCCTTGACACCCTTCACCTTGCGGTTGGACATGTATAAGGTGCGCAACCCCAACTGGCAGGCTTGTCTTTATCACCCATCGGGTGGCGCATGTCAAGCATGGCTCGACAACCTCCTGTCCATGCACAAGGTGATTGTCACCGAGCTGCACACAGAGATCAGCTGGAAAGATCTGACGACAGCATGACACACGTGATTCCAAGTGGAACCGCCCGAGCTCCAGGCAATGGAGAAGCTGCAGAAGTTCTACCAAAACTCCTTGCTGAGCACGGATTGGATCGCCGAGTTCCAACGCTTGGCATCCACGCCCGAGCTACCAATCAACTTCAACGGAATCAAGCACTACTTCATTACGAGGTCGTGCCCGACATTGCAACATGCGTTGACACAAGTCGCTGAGGCGCTCACCAAAAGGGAATTTCATTTTAACAAGGCCTCGCAGATCATTGTGATGAACAATGAAGCGGGCAATGCTGGTCTTTTGTCTTCCACAGGCCAGAGCAGAGATCAACATCGGTCAAAAGTGGTTGTGGTCGCAGCAACAACACAGACCAATTCAAACGAGGCTGCTCCATCGAACGAGGGAGATATGTTAGCAGCTACCCGGGATGGTAGCCGCCCGACCAAGGGTCGAGGATGCGATAAATTGAAGACAAGCACCTCTTCATCCCCCCGGACCAAAACAACAGCTCAAGAACCTTGGCTCCATTATGGCATCTTGAAGGCCATCTACAAGATCTGCTTCGAGTATCGATATTGTTTGTGGTGCAACAACGATGCACACGGCTCCGCGAACTATCTCACGAATGCCAAGGCAAAGTCCCATCCGGGAAAGTGAGCATCGTTGAGAATATGGCTGCACTCTCGATGCCTTTGGAACCGGTTGCTTTGCGAACAACCTCCCTTACTTCCGAGGCAAATGCGGAAGTCGTGAGCCCTCTTCTTCATTCTTTTGAGGACTTTGCTGTCCGGCACATTCCACCGTTGGGTTCCCTAGCTCAAGGACAAGGTGTGCGCACGGTTTTCTGTCTGTCCGGTAGCAGTGCCAGTTCATCATCTTCAAGTGTTTTTTCAAGGGATTCGGCATGTGAGAGTTCAACATGGAGGTCTTGGACCCGTTGTCGCCCAAGGAATTTTCATGGCTTCCTCTTTTTTCCACGGGCCGCTTACTGGGACGGCAATACGCAACACTATACGCTTATTTGCACATGTATTTATCCTTCTATGCACCACCAACTTTACCGACGGATGACGAAGTCGTGGTGGGGGACCTCCTTGCATATATCTCCAAGGTGGCCCACGAGTTTCATATCCAGCGGTACGATGACAACAACGCACTGCTCCTTACTGTCCACATCCAAGTTGGGAAAGGCTGGAAAGCGTCCTGCAACACTTTGCTGGATGGTAGCACGACTCGCAATTTCATGAGCCAGTTCTTTATACAAAGTGCCGACCTTGGCGCACAAGTTTGAAGGAAGGCACATCCTACGGCGGGCAAGATGGCAGACGGTCGAATGCAACAACTTCTTGATTGCTATATCGAGGTCGTGCCGGTTTATTTCGCACCACATGCATGCAAGTTGGTCACATTTGACTTGTTGGACACAAACTTCGACATCATTTTGGGGATGCCTTGCTCACGAGTGCGAACCACACGGTTAACTTCCATTCGCTGACACTTACCATTCGTGACGCTTTCGGCGCCGAAGTCCTGTGCACCATTCCTCTTCTGCACCATTCGATCCGGTGCCAAGTTATGACAGCCAAGTCTTTTCGGGCCACTTGTGCTTACGAGCGGACCGACGCGATTGGCCTTTGTTTTCTTCGGACCATCGCGGCGATCGAATCTTCCCTATGGACTTGTCTTCGGACCCCCGTGTGGTGCGATTGCTTGACGAGTTCACCGACGTCTTCGAGTCTCCTACAGCTGTGGTGCCGGATTGGCCAATCTCCCATCAGTTCATCCTTGAGGCCGGTGTCGTGTCATCAAAAGGTTGCATCTATTGCATGAGCGAGAAGGAGCTCACGGTTCTCCGCCCACAACTCAATGACTTGTTGGACAAGGGTTGGATCCGCACTAGTAGCTGACCATACGGTGCGTCGGTTCTCTTCGTACGAAAGAAGAATAAGGACATTCGCTTATGCATCGACTGTCGCAAGTTCAACGCGCCTCTTCCTCATATTGACGATCTTCTTGAGTGTTTGGGCAACACAAAGTATTTGGATTAGACTTGAAATCGGGCTCTCATCAAATCTCGATACGCCCGCAAGATCACTAGAAATCTCAATACGCTCACAACCTCGCGTAGCCAGCCTTTAATGACGACAATTTGAATGGCTGCATGGGAAAAAAAAAACAGTCATCGCAAAAAGAAAAAGAAAAAACTGAGAGAGGAATACAACTTAGTTTTTCTGTTATTAAAAAAAAAAAAAACGAAAAAAAGGAAAAAAAGCACGGCGCAGCCAACCAAAAGTCGTATGGCCTGCACTTTGATTGGGCCCAGCAGGGAAATGGTCTCACGGGACAGCGTTACATGGGACGCTCATTTGGGTTATGTTTGGTGCTGGTAGAGCAGGGGATGCATTTAAGCACTGCATTGGATGCTTCTAAAGTAGAATGAGACTGATGACCGTAGTTTGAACTATTTCTTGTGGTTCTTTTCAGGGAATGTCAAAGCCATGGTCTGCTCTTGAGTTAAGAATTTGTCTCCATTGCTCTTTTTTTTTCAACCTTCTTTTCTTCTTTTTCCCTTAATGGCTGGCCCAGGGTTGGAGGTGGTTTTTATTCCCAGGTTCTCCAAACTTCCGTGCAGTTGTTTGGAATCGGGACAATCCCCGTGCCAGTGGTCGGTACCTGAATCAGCCACCCCCATTCCTTCAGGTCAAGCTACAAGTCAACCATTGGCCTTGCTCCACTTCACAACACACTACATGAATTTTGACGCTTTGGGGACCAGGAACATGAAATATGTTTCACTTGTCGGGATGCACCTGGTCCTGAAAGCATTCACATGCATGTAGATGTGTAGCGGAGCCAGGCCCTACATCTGTGCGACGGCAGAAAGTCTCCCAAGGTTTAGCCTCAGACACCCTTACTTTTCTCAAGGTGTTGACTTTGAGTATGACAGACTATGGGCCGATGTTCTTTTTAACTAAACTACCACTACCTTTCTCATTGGACGCCAAGTCGCAAGACTAACCTAGTCCGAAAAAATCGGCGCCGGGCGGCCGCTGATATTTTTCGTTGGTGGCTCCCAGCCTGTGAATTCGAAATTAGAGGCCCCACACGGAAATTTCAAAGGTAGTGGTCGTTTAAACTTTAAACCACCAGTACCTCGGCCAGCCAAAAAAAAAAAGTCACGGCGCGGGGATCGGGGAGTTGAAGTACCGGTTGGTACTTCTTTTCTTTCTAACTTAAAATAACAAAACAAATACAGAAAAATAACAGAGAGACCACTTTAGAAAATGAAAGAAATAAAGAAGCTAAGACAACCACCCTCGATTCAAGCGCGCGGTGTGTGTGTGTGTGTGTGTGTGTGTGTGTGTGTGTGTGTGTGTGTGTGTGTGTGTGTGTGTGTGTGTGTGTGAGAGAGNGAGAGAGAGAGAGAGAGAGAGAGAGAGAGAGAGAGAGAGAGAGAGAGAGAGAGAGAGAGAGAGAGCACTTTAGTAGAACCACCAGTATGTTTCCCAGCCATTTTTCTCCGATCGCCTTGCATGCTGCCACAACTTTCGGGGGTCGGCAGCCGGAGTAAAATGGATCGCAGCGCCAGCCAAAAGGAGGCCCGCGCAGGTTCGTTTTTTTCCTTCTTCGTGCGCACAGGGCATTTTGATCCCTCAGAAGTACTGGTGCTTTAAAGACACCTAGACATGAAGGTAAATAGTTTGGACCTTCTCATTCAGTGGCTGCTCAAATTCTGGCCAAAATACTGGCCAAATTTTATGCGTGGACAAATGTCTACAAATTAGTTTTTGGGAGAGTTATGATTGCAAGCGCTTCTACATTGTAAATGATTATATGATATGATATGCGACTATAGATTGGAGCCCAATCTCACAAATAAAGGCCAAACCTAAGCCACCAGATCCGCCCAGGCCTGGCTGCCCAGCCGTGCAGCCAGGCCAGTGCAACTGGGACCCTCCCATCCAGGTGACCTGGGCAGGTGAAAAAATGGTCAAAAGACTCGAAACTTATTTTTTCTTTTTCTCGGATGGTGGGGCTATTGCCACTGTTCTTTTTTTCTTTTTTTTCTTCTTTGATTCATGTCAGTTTTGGAAGGATGGAGGGGGGAAGGGGGGGTTGAAGGGCTCTAGAGGGGCGTGAAAGGGGTTGAAGGGCCCTCCAAGGGTGTCAATTTCATCTATCTTATTTCATTTTATGTTTATTCACAATTGCACGAGGAATTTAGAAGTGACCCTTGCTGTTCTGCATAGGACCCGGGACCCTGCCCCTCCCAGTTGCCCGGCCAGTCGTCCTGGGCAGGTCCCATGCCAGCCTTGGGTACTAGGTGGCACGGCTGGTAGCCCAGGACCACAGGACCGGACTGAAAAGCAAAGCTGCAGCATATTCATGGATGGGTTTATCCTGCAAAAAACAGGTTCATTACCAAGGTGGCATGGCTGATATATGTTATAATCAATAAGAACAATGGGGGGTCAGCAGTCTTGGATCCATAACTCCAAACAAAGGCTCTTCAGACAATGCGGTTTATTTTTATTTTTTATTTTTATTATTTTTAATCAAGAATGTAATGAACCGAGTCTGGCAGACACTTATCAGACGTCAACCACAAGTAGTCTCAGATCTGCACAACGTCTCCAGTTATCGTGAAGTGATATCTGAAACAGTAACTCGTTACCAATAGAGAGAGTGGAGGGAGGATAGACAAGGGAGAAGGTGGAAGTGATAATCAAGGACCACACGATAATAACCCAACCATTCCCACTCCTTCTCCAGTTTTCTTCTCCCTCCACGCCATCAATCAATAATAGTAACAAGTCTGATAAGTTCTGATCACACAGAAGTGCCATGTGGCACTCTTATCTCGTGAAGACCATGAAAACAACAGCAGAATACGGTAATGGCGTCAACCTCAGGTGAGTACCTGATCCCAATCATCCACATATCCCGATCTCCCTCCTTGTCGCAACCAGTCACCTCATGTAGACAGCGTGGCCTAAGCCACGTCAGATGTAGAAACAGGTGGCATGCACCACATCATCAATGAAGACAAGTGGCAGCGCCACATCAGCAATATAGACCAGTGGTATGCGCCACATCAGCAATGTAAACCAGTGGGATGCGCCACATCAGCAATGTAGACCAGTGGCATGCGCCACATCAGCAATGTAGACA